TTTTTTTCTTTTTTTTTTTTTTCTATACCCGCCGTTTCCGAGTCGGGAAGGTATGTATCATAATGATAAAAGGGCCAAGACGAGCAAGACGTCATCGCCTCGGCTTCGCCATCGAAACAAAAGGAAGGAGCGCAATTGGTATACGTAATGTAATATAATATAGACGCTCTACACAATATAGTTAGTTTAATGATCATCTTCTCTACTAACTTTTGAATAATTTTGATTATAAGCCTCCGTTTGTCAATCCACGCCTTTCCAGCGCGTGTATCTACTTGTACACCTCTTTTTCTTTTTTTACTTTTCAGCAGTAATTTTTCTCAGGTCCACCCGAGCCAAATGACTTTCATGCCTCGGGCACCTTGGGCATCACGTTCTTTTCGCTCTTTACATATTTTGTGTACGAGATCACTCGTATAATATCACTCCCTATATATGCGAATGCACGATGCCGCTGCTGCCTATACTGTACTATCAAGCCAAGGGCGACGCCTCGACTTCTCGTAACTACTACATATTATACCCATACACGTTTGTCCATGCCCTTTTTTAATCTCTATCGTGTTAATCGCGGACCTGGAATTTGGATGTGTATAGGCATACACTACGTGTGCGCGTGTTTTGATACACATATACATACGGGCTATTATAACTGCACAGCTACATGATTACATGTATTTATACATACATTTATGTAATTACATATAGAAACGAAGGAACAAACGAACGCTGATGCGGGGCGGGCGTTTCGTCGAGAAAAAAAAAAAAAAAAAAAAAAAATATGTGTACAGGCGTTACCGTTTACAATATGGTAGCAGTTGTAGCAATAATATGATGATGACGATGAAAATCATAATAATGATGATGATGATGATGTGTCCTAGTTTAAATGTTGAATAGGCGCTCGGGCATGGCTTGGCTCAATTTTCTGTAGTCCAAGCCATCGGGGGAGAGCATGGCCGCGGCCGCGTTGGCTGCATCGGGACCGGGAAGACGACGTTCGGTGACGAGCTGATGCAAGCTGGCCCCGAACCGGCCCTACTATTCGCACCGCGAGTCCGCCAGGGGCTCGAGCTTGACGGCTATCTTCTCTTTGTCCTTGAGGGCGGCGTGCGAGCTCTTGACTAGCTCGCTTATGTCCTCCTGGAAGAGATTCTCGGGCCTTGGGCTGACGAAGCTGCGGGTCGGCTTGTAGGTCATGCCGCTGACGCCGATGCCGACCTCGACGCTCGAGGACAGGTGGTGGCCCGGGTCCATGAGCGAGCCGAGCGGACTGTCGCTGATGGGACTGTCGGGTGGGCCACCGGTGTCGGGGCTGCCGAGGCCGAGGTTCAGCGGCGAGTTGTCGTGCTGGTTGCTGCCGGGGCGCTCGCTGCCCAGGCCCCCGAGGCCGCCCAACATGCCCACGGGTCCCCCGAGGCTCGGCGTGCTCGGGGCCGATAGCATACCACCGAGGCCGGCCCCGCTACCCATACCCATACCGGGTATCCCACCACCTCCGCCGTTGTTGTGCTGGTGGTGATGGTGGTGCGACTGATGGTGATGATGGTGATGATGATGCGGCTGGTGGTGCTGTTGTTGTTGCTGTTGTTGCTGCTGCTGCTGCTGCTGCTGCTGTTGTTGTTGTTGCTGCTGCTGCTGCTGCTGATGGTGGTGGTGGTGCTGCTGCTGTTGCTGATGATGCGACTGATGGTGCTGTTGTTGTTGTTGTTGTTGCTGTTGTTGTTGTTGCGACGCCGCCACCTGCTGCATCGCTGCTTGGAGGTTGGAGGAGAGACTCGTCGAGAGGTTTGTGGATAGATTCGTTGCCAGCATGTCGTGCTGCTGTGAGTGCGCCGCCGCCACCATGCTGCACATCTGGTTTCTGAGTCCTGGGAATCAAACGAGGGACGATTTTTTTTTTCATAAGGCATACAGAGATCGGTAATATTTACACCGAAGTATTCATTGCCGCGGTACATGGGGTAAAAGAAGTAATTACGAGCCTATTTTGTTTTTTCCACTAGCTGGGAGGAAGCTTTGGTCACGACTCGAATTAGAGCTTAGAAATTCACTAACTTTGATTACAGTGTTGGGATATAATTTTTTTGCTCGAATCGTTAATTTTTCAATATTTCGCTTGAGCTGTGCCATTTGTCTCAAAACTTGATTGACCTTTTTTCAGTTACGACCATTCTCCTTTCAGCCGACGCGGTTTATAAATACGTTATCTTTTGAGTGGCTTTATCATCCGTGGTGTATTGTGTTGTTCAGCACATGTAGTTAAATACGTAATTTGTCTACATCTCCGAAGAGATTATTATATGTTCAACGTCACGTACGAGACTTTTGCACATATAGTGTATACAAGAATAAATCTTGACCTCGCCGACAATAATACAATCATTTCGCATCGATGATAGAACATGGCAAGTTAAATGTGGTAGATGTCGTTGTCGCTTGTTGTTCTCGTGAAATGGTACACTCGTGCTTTTTCTCGCTTAGAATATAAGAACACGTAAAGCCTTAAATATTAATGACGACGACCAACACGAAGTACGAAAAATCGGATGGTAAAAGAATCAGTCGTGACCTGGATACCGAAAATACATATACAATGATATCTCACCGCACGTCATAATGTAATCAATGTCGAACGAATAAATTTCCACCGGCTAAGAAAAATTTTTGCTCAGTTTTTTAATACTTTGCGTACAAGCGCCTACAATGAAAATCATATACAAATCCGAAAATAAAGATCAAGAAATGAGATGTATAATCGATTACGCGAACACAACAGACCGAGTATTTGTACAATTACCATTGATGATGGAAAAAAAGAAAAAATGTCCTTGAAATGAAAAAGCTATACCTTAAAGTAAAATCCGCGTAATAAAGTCCACGATGATTGTACAGTGTAACAACGTATTATTATCTCCTGTGTACAATGCACGAGTAAGAAAGAAAAAAAAAAAAAAAAAAAAAAAAAATTAAAGGGTTGAAGACGAAGGTTCCGGTTGCAAAACGAGCAAGGATAAAACGGCACAAGGCTACAGTGGCGTCCGTGCAATATATGGTTGCGGGCAGCAAACAAACAAACGAAGGAGCAAAGGGTATATTATAGGTACATACCTTGAGCGACGGCAGCGACCGCGGCCGCGGCGGCGCTCGGGCTGACCGCTCCCTCGGGCCCGTTGCAGGCGCCGTAATTCGCGAGGCTCGGGTAAATGGCGGCCGGTTCCTCCTTGACCACGTGCGGCGACTGACCGTCGCGGAAGACCACCGCCCGAATCACGCCGCGGATGTGCTCGTCCGGCCAAACTCCCAGGAGGATCCTTTGCGGCCTCCCTCGGCCCTTCGGCCGCAGATCTGCAATGCACACAGGAGGAAGGAAGAGAGATAAGAGATAGGGCGTCCTTCAGACTGACATTTGCAGAGCCTGTAGTCGAGAGAATTTTTGTCAAAGGCCCTCATAGATTTCTTTTTTTTTTTTTTTTTTTTTTTTTTTTTTTTTTTTTTTTTTTTTTTTTTTTTTTTTT